GAGAATAAGGCACTTGTATTGTAAGTTGTCTTGAAGCGAACACATTCTCGCATTTTTAGTCGTTTCATGTTATATTCTCTACAGAATCTCGCATTTACTAGTTATTTGCTAGCGTTGTGAGGTCAGTTATGTACGCCCTTATTCTCAAAGAATGGGCCAGATCCCAAAGCGGTAAGAACTGGCTTGAATTTTGTGCTTGGATTAAGTTCGAAATACTTCATTTTAAAAATATGGCGACAGGGGCCTTGATTTCCTTGGCTTTCTGAACGATTCTTTTTAAGGGTTTAAATGTATTTCCTTGATGCCTGAACTATTTTTTAACATTTTGAAGTAGCCATTGCAAACACACAGACAACACAGCTCAGCTCCACAACTTGCGTTCCAGGGTGATTTATTGTTAGGAAATTTTCTTGTTTGCAAATTTAGTCTATCTTGTTGAATTACTTTTCATTGTGTGATTCTCTTTATCAGAAAGACAAAAAAGTGCAATAGAATTTGAAATATCCTTTAGTGTCTTGCTTAATTTGTTAGTTTTTCGGTCTAAATATAAACTCGTTAATCGTCGGATCGTTCAATAAGGACTCCATACAGTTCAATACCAGATAAATAAATGCTATGTCTCCCTGAAGAGTTCTTGGCAGTCTGAAAAATCCTGAAATACCGAAAAGCTCCGAGTTCCCCGTCGACACACCAGGTTGCGGTGTAATATGGGTAAGGCTCTTTAAGCCCGCGATCATTCTCGTGTTTCCTTAGCAGTTTCCAAGTACGTCCGTCCAACGATCCCTCCAGCCGCCAATTACGAATGATTGACATACCGTTATCCCTTCCTTGTCTGAGAGTGTAATGTGTGAGATAAAGAGCATATTTCTCACTTAAGTCAACACTCCACCACGATCTTTCCTCGTCTTTGGTGCCGCTTAATGTTCCGCCTCTCCGAGTATCTAACAGATCACTTGCCGAGCCTTGTTCGTCAGAAGATCGTGTGGCGATTATTCTCGTCGGAAAGGAGTTCGTGCTGCTGGGATTTACCCATGATGAGGTACCAAAATTTGTTCCTAGCGCATAGATGAGTCCGTGTCTGTCAAAATCCTTTCTATAGTTCAAAACGCCTGGGTTAACAAAAAAAATATATCATTGTGAATATTCTTCTCGTAAAAGCTCTACAAGTAAGATGAGATCCTAATTCAATAGGACTCATTAACTGATACATCAATCGATCGATAATCAGTCGGATTATTCTTGTTCTAAAACATTACATTTTGTCGGTCTGAAGATTGCTCTTCCGAGGGTTTCAACGGCTAGAAAATTCGCGTGACCAAGCTGCGATTGGTTGATGGGGTGGCGCGAGACCAATCACAGTGCGCTACAAAGCAGTAGCTATGCAATCCCGGTTTTTTATTTTTATTATTATTTGTATTCGATTGTCAATTGATAATTGCACTACTTATAAAGGTGTGGTTACCAAATTTAGCATACTTACGTCCTGGCATGTTCCTTAGTCTTGCGATTTCTTCTTTCAACGCTTCACACTTACAACGGTCTAAGAAGTCTTTACGAAGACGCGCAATTTCTTCTCCCTTTTGTTTTTCTTTCTCACTAAGTTCAACCTTCAATTTCGCCAGTTCTCTCAAGGCATCCGTCTTTCCTTTAGTCTCTGCCTCCATAACTTCCTTGGTTTCTTTGAGCTTCTTTTTCTCGCGAGCTAAGTTTTTCTTCACCTTGACGAATTCATCTTCGATTTTCTCCAAATGTGATTTTTCTTTCTTTAGTTGCGTGGAAACCTTTTGAACCTCTGATTTTTGTTTTTTTAACAGCTCGTTGAGTTCTTCATTTTGCCCCTGCAAATTTTTCATCCTAGCAATTTGCTGCTCGATCACTTCACGCAACATCTTCTGCAACTCTTTTTCAAAGTCCCTCGACAACTTTTCATGTTCTTCTCTCAAACCTTGTAGTTCCCTTTGTAGAATCTGTTTCTCTTTTGCGTGCTCAGCTCGAAGATCTTGAATATCTATGTTTAGTTCCTTAATTTCCTCTTCTAATTTGACTTTCATTCCTTTGATAAAATCTCTCTCAGTTCGTAATAAGGTACATTCTTCTTCTAACGTGTCACAGCGCGAACAGGGATTATCTCCTACGCAAAAAATAAACAAACAAACAAACAAACATTATTGAGTAAACCAAAAATGATAATCTTTCAGTCTCCTACCTTACTTGACTTAACACAGTCCGGTCCAATCTACACACTTAATGATACTTATATTAGACAGTCTTGATGGTCTGGTTGTAATGACGGCCAGTCCACCTCCTAAGCCCCTCGGAAAGAAGCAGATTGCAAGGACTTGTGCAAAACGTGTGGGTTTAAGACTCTGTCGTCAGGGAAACACCCTCAGACGTCAATGAAGTTGGGAACTTGCTGTGTATCGAATATCAACAAATCCTCGCCCCCATTTCTTCTACTCAAGCGGTTTCGTGTGAGGGCTGGTTATTTAAACAAAGTTTTGCCATTGTTTAACAAAACCGCGTACTAAACTTTCTTGAATTTAGCTGAATCTTTTGTCTGAACGTTGATTGTGTTAACAGTGTCAAGACAGCCGAAAGCTAGTAGAGGAAGGATATTTATTTGAAAAAAACAATCTCCTTTAAGAGAATACGGAAGGCTCACTGTTTGCTGGCGACTCGTGACGCACACAGTCCGCGAAGGACTGAATATATATGGTGATTACGATAACTCAAAAGACTAAAAATGTTTTAAATTAATTGTAGTTTAGATGCCCAAGGTTAGGGTAGGGTTACTTGCGTTAAAAACCTTTCACTCTCGTTCACAAAAATCAAAAGAAAAATGTAATCCACAGCTACAGTTATAGTTTGCTAACTTACCCTCGAAGTCAGACTGTATTGGTTCACCAGGAGATGTCGCTCGGTCGTGAAAACTGCCACTTCTTGTCCTTTCCAAACTGGTGAACGTATCTTGGAGTTGCTTTTCTAGCTCTTCGCACTTTTGTTTCAAATCTTCGCGTTCTTTTGTTACTTTAGCTATATCCTTTCTTGTCTTATCTAAAAGTTCTACTGAGATGGCGTCGTTTCTGCAAAATGCTGGCTTCATTTCCTCATCCTCATTTTCGATGAAATGAAAGTTTGGACTATGTCTGTTGAAGATATTATGTCCCACTTGCATCGACGTCCAAGTGGTCATTTCAGAAGAGTTGCTTTGATTTAAAGTAATGTTTTGGTAGTCTGAGAGTTTCTTCGTAAGTTCTTTATTTTCTTTTGAGGTCTTTTCAAAGTTTTCCTTCAAGTTTCTCAAATCATCGTCCAGTTTATTACACATTGTTCTCAAACGCTCTGTTTCCCCCACGAAAACTTCTTTAGCTGACAGTTCTTCTTCCAAGCTCTTAATTTTATTCTCTAATTCCATACCTTTTGCTTGCAAAATTCGCTGATCGTCCTTACTTTTCACCATAAGCGTCTCGTGTATACTCTTCAGTTCCTTGAGTTCTTTCTGTGTTTTCTTATGTTTTTGTTGCTCGTTTTCTAAACTTGTCCTTATGAGACAAACTTCCTCACGTAACCTTGCACTATGCGTCCTTGCGCGGTTAAGCTCTGTCTTCATTTCCTCCATTTCTAGACAAAAGAAAAGCCAATTACTTAAAAATTTTTGACATTTCACGCTTAGCCTTCGGTGCTTTTCTTTTGTAGTTTTACCTTTAAATCCATCGTAACGGTAGCCCTACATGTCTTAACCTTCATTGATACAGAACAAACTGGTAGTGGTCTGGGGCTGAGTCCTGCTGAGGAATTTTCTTGGACGATGAGCTGAAAGAGTTCATGCATTTGTTGTCTCTATTGAACAACTGTAATGCTATATTTGGTATTAAATGAAGGGTATCTTGTCAGCGACCAAACTGAAGTCCCTGCTGAAATACCACTTCAGTCACTAATACAGCTACGTGTAATCTCACAAATAGAATTTGTTAGTTTGCTTTTTTTCTCATATGTAATTTGATCACGTGGGACCTTGCTGGGTCTTGCCATGAACGTAAAGAGTTATGTCTTTATAAAGAGAGAGATGAAAGAATAGGGAGTGAAGAGATGGGTAAAGTCATAAAAGAGTTAAATGTTCTCCGTAGGAAACACGCAGTTTTTAAGGGAAGTACTTTCTTGGAATCACTCTTATCTATAATTGCCATGTCAAGTATGAGTACTGGTCGAGAAAAATGTCGCTTGAAAAAATTCCGGTTCTGCAAATAAAATCTGCATGCCTATTGTCGTTAGCGGAAAAAAAATATATCTTTTTGGACTTAAAACTTACTGCGACCTTTCGAGGTTTATCCACCCCTCCCTCTCTTGTCCACATCACCCCTTCCCATCCCCCTTCCAAGTGCTTCTTCTTCAATGACCTATAATGTCATCCATTTCATCGCTGGGTAACTTACCTGCTTCTTTGACCAAAGGTGTGGCTAGAAATGGCTGGACTTCTTGTAATGCAGTCACAAAATCATCAAAAGCAGTTGGTCCTCTTCTCGGTAGGATCTCTAATAGCTTGTCTGTTCTTTCCTCTCGAGTGGCTTTCACTTTCACTTCCTGTTCGTCTGTGACGTCCAATACGTTTACCAAATAAGGAAGGAGCTTCACAGGTTCCAGGTCTCTCCTAAGCGCTGGCCAATGGCGACGCAAGATGTCCCGATGTCTTTCATTCATGCTGTTTCAGGCTCAATACAAGTCTCTATCACAGAAGTGTCTTTAATTTTCTCTCCAAATTGCAACTTGCTAACAACAAGAGCCTTGTCAAGAAAACCTATGGGTTTAAATGCATGTTCTTTCAAAAATCAGTGAAAGAGAGATTGGGCTTCGTTGTCGTTTCTCTTTTATTGCACGAACTTCTGCCCTTCCAGTTTCATTCGCTGTGCCATGCCACTGCGGATATCATAAGCCATGTCGTCAAAGAATTACATCCTTATATCAATTTTTTTTTTTCTTGGTTACGCAAACAATGGTAGAAATATTTATCAAAGAGAGGGGTTTTCCTGACTATCTCTAAGAAGAGGCTTTGAGTTTTCGTTGATAAAAAAAGTATTTTGACTATTCTGCAAGTTTCTGTGGCCGTAAAAGATTATGCGAAAAGAAGAGCAAAATTTGCAAGTGAATAACTTTTCTAGCCGCTCCAATGAATATCTTTACAATAGATGTTCTGTTCAGTTGGTCGCATTCAAAAACGGTTTTAGTGTTAACTCTAGTACACCTTAGTGCAATTAAAAGTTTATTTAGTTTACTGTTTAATGATGAATGCTTGCACTCTCGGCAAATTTAAGTAGATAAAATGTCACCTTTTTCCCCAACCTGGTTTGATAGGTTTGAAGAATAATAAGATTGTCGGCTTTGTGAGGTGTAGCCGGCTGGAGAGCGTTTCTACGCAAAAGTGGTATCCGCTAAAGATATCCAATCTCAGGTTATTAGCTGCGCTTAAGAAAACGTTGTTAAGCGGCAAATTGATAACTTTTATAAGGGCTTAAGATAATTTTACTTCAAGCTCTTCACTTCGAATAGCCTGAAGTACTTTCCGCGTGTTGAACCAGTACGTCACTCCGATGTTAAGTGAACCGTTAGTTAGATATGCAGTGTTTAGATTACCGAATATCGTCATAGAGTTATTGTATATAATATACTTTGATGCGTGTAAACAAGGTTGTTAAAACTCGCCATGAAGTGATTAAATATTTGACCGGCGTAAATTAGCGAAATGAAATAACACATTTGGCCAAATGCTTGGAGGAAGACTCTAAACAAGCTGCACTTGCAAAAGAGTCAAAATTATATTACAACGCAAGACTCAAAATAAATCAGTTCATTTCATAACAATTGTGTATAGCTTTAACGTTAGATTTAAGAAATTCAACAAACTAACATGAGTTCAAGATGGATCGGTTGACAGCCTACCTCGTCCTGATTCAGCCAAAAGTCGAGTAATTTTTGACCCCACAGCAAGTCAGATGAGTGTAAACTTCTCTACCGCAAATGCAGTCAGCTGTACTTCACGGTGCTGGAATCTGTGACACTTCTTTCTCAGCACAACCTTGAATTAAGTTTGTATATTGGATAAGGACCTTCCGTCAATGAGTGAAATACTTATACTCAAATTTCATCAGAACAAGGCAATTGATTCACCATAATTCTTCATAAAAAGATATTCAAGAACAGTTTTAGTTCAACGTTACCCTCAACTCTCTTTGATTTTAGTGACGTAACCTTCCGTTTTCGCCGACCAATCAAACACTTGATTGCATTAGCAACCTGTTGTTATGGCTGCAGTTCTCTGGAGATTAGCATACTGATTTAGATGTTGTCAAGGGACACAAAGTACCCGCAACTTGCCTTGGAATTTCTAAATTCAATCAGGCAGTGAATTGCGCTGAAGCGTTAAGAATTATTATGTCGTCTAGATTCCACTGAATTTGCTCCAATCCTTTAGGAAAACAATTCTAATAATAATAATGATGATAATAATAATGATAATAATAATAATAATAATAATAATAATAATAACAAAGGTTTATTAGCATTCCAAAAATGAATTGGCTCCGCTATGCTAAAATTACTATACTATTGTAATTACGCTATATCATATAGTTTACCATGAGAATTTCATGGTATAGTGCGCTATGTCCCGAGTGGATTGTTCCCTTACTTAATCAGTCTCTTATTGTTAAAGAAAAAAATGTCTGATCAGTCCTTCAAGAACTACCGAAGAAGACAACTGTTGATTCTCAAGACAACGATGATGTTCCCAAGATGACGGTTCTTAGTAATCTTTGACTGACACCAGTGGCTCTCAACTCTTAAGCAAAAATACATCATATTATTCAAAGGTTAGGAAATTTAGGGCTCATTCATCCATTAAGTCGCCTTGAAACAGTTATTATTTTACATTTGAGGCCCATCATGTGCATAGATGGAACTGATTTTAACGATAATAGGGAAAACATTCTCTTTCTTAGCCTTATATGATCTGGCCCATGCCATGATCACTTTACACTTTTATCACGCAATTAAAGGATGAGTGAACCCTAAAATTCCTAATCTTTGAAGATTATAATGCTCGAGTTTGCTTGTTTGTTGTTTTTTTTTTATTTCGCGCAGACGGCAAGAGCACGGCGACCACATGCGCATGAAGGCCTTTGCGTTTCCCCTAGAGAAATACAGGAGAAATACAGATTCCCGTATAAATTGACAGGAATCAGCTGGTGGGACGGAATCCCTTTGACTACTTTGTTCTTTGCTGTGGCTTTCTGTACGAAATACGAAATATCAATGTAAAAGAATACTGAACGTTATTTGGGGAGCGGAGATGGCGCAGTGGGGAGAGCACTCGCCTCCCACTGCTGTGGCCTCGTACCATTTCTTGTGCCTGGCATCACATGTGAGTTGAGTCTGTTGTTGGTTCTCATCCTTGCTCCGAGGGAAATTCCCCTGGTCTCCCAAATCACAATTCGACCCAGAAACAGTGGACAAGAAGAGCCGCCTCAAGGAATGTCCACTGCCAAATCGTGCTACTATTATTATTATTATTATTATTATTATCATTATTATAATCATTATTATTATTATTTCAATTCTCTCCAGTTGTTGGGTGTTCCACTGAGTAACGTTGTTTGTGTCTCAGCAACTTCCCGTAGCTCAGAAACACAACACTTTTCGCAACAGATAAGCCGTTCCAAGGATGGCCGATAATTGAACACTTCCAAGTAAGTTAGGTACACCTAACTTGCCAAACTAGGCCTTTGATCTTTTCGATATGCTTCCGAGAGCACCTATCACGATAGGTATTACTGTGACTTTCGAAGCTCCATGGATGCTTCTGATTTCGTATGCTAGTTCCTGGTACTTTTCCACCTTCTCCTCCTCGGTCCGGGTGATGTTCTGATCCGCAGGCACAGCTATATTAATAAGTGTCCATTTCTGTGTGTCTTTATGAATTAGGGTAATGTCTGGCTGATTATGCCTCAGCACTTTGTCTGTGTAGATAGTAATGTCCCAATTAATCCTCACCTCTCCATTTTCTGCGACTGACAAGGGTCATATCACTTGTCAGTACACTCTATTTCCATACTTTCTGCACATCTCCCAGTGTGCCCGCAGGACCACCTTGTCGTGGCGCTTTCTATACCTCTCTGGGCAAGCTTCTTGCATCCACTGACAATGTGTCTTACTGTTTCAGTGGTGTCTCCACACAGTCTATACAGTGGCGTTTCTGAAGTCTTGTCTACGCTATACTTGATCGAGTTTGTTCTTATAGCCTGTTCCTGAACCGCCAGAATCAAACCTTCTGTCTTTTTTTTAAAAATCCGTTCCTTAACCATCTCCAGGACTCCTCTCCAGCTTCATCTGATATTTGTTGGATGAACTCACCGTGTAGGGCTTTCTCCTTCCAGTTTTTAACTTTCTCTACTTTCTTCCTCCTCTCATAGTCCTGTAGGCTCTCTTCTTCAACAATAATCTTCTCCTTCAATGCAGTTTGAAGCATCCATTCTGTGCCCTCACTCAGATAACCATAAAGGGACTCCCTCTTCACACACTCTTCGATACCAATCAGTCCTCTTCCCCCTTCCTTTCTCGACAAGTACAGCCTCGCAACGTTACTCCTTGTGTGTAGACAGCCGTTCATTGCCAAGATCTTCCTAGTTTTTCTATCCATGCTGGCTACCTCCTCTGTTGTCCAATCCACAATCCCTGCACTGTAGCGCACCACACTTACAGCCCAGGTGTTGATGCCGCAGATCAAATTTCCCCCATTCAATTTTGATGTACACAACTTCTTGACTCCTCTGGTATACTCCGATGTTATCTTGCCTTTCATCTTGGTGTTAAGAGTCTGGTCCAACTGTAGTATGGCCAAGTATTTGTAGCCTTCTTCGTCTATTTCCCCGATGTTCTGGTTGTCGGGTAAGTCTGTTCCGCTACTACCCTTCTCATTTCCAGAACAGCACACTTGTTTAACCCAAACGACATCTTAGTGTCATGTAAGAAGATCCTTAATACTTGAATGAGTGAGTCTAGTTGATCTCTACTAGCTCCGTACAACTTCAGATCATCCATGGAATGCAAAAGAAACGCACGGGAGCTCGTTAGCTCAAGTGATGCGCCAAGAAATAAGAACGGGAGGAAAAAGGGCTACATTGAACTAATGACTGATCTCTGGAATACAAAAGGTTATGAACATGTTTCCATTAAAAGACAGAACCTTAGGGATCAAGCTTCGCGACTAGAGAAAAACGCGTCCTCTTCAAGTATTTCAAGTCCTTTGGATTCTAATGGCGATATTTGGCAATCAAATATACTTGGAAGTAATCTCGATAGACGCCACTGACATTTAGATGTAGAAGATGTAAGAAATCTTGCACTTATTTCGTGCTCCAGCCATCTCCTGTTTGCTTTGCAGCAAAAGACTGAACTTGTAGTTGTCATTGCTCCCCGAGCAGTCCACGTTCATTGCCGAAAGATAGTTCGTCATTCGAGCTTTTTTTTGGGCCATAAAGAACCTTCAATTTGGGTAAAGTCTCGTCAGCTTTCTCGTAGCTCACTGAAATTAGCGGCTTACCGTGCATCTGCACTCCCATTCAAGCGCGCATTCAGGTTTTAACTGATCAGAGGGTACTTTATAACGAATGATATTTTACTATTAATCGACACAGATTCCTTACTGGCTATGATAATGTTTCCTTTTTTTTTTTTAAAGTAAGGGCGAGAAGACTGCATGGCATGTATGTAACGTTTACTCAGCCCTGACCAATGTTCTGTGTAGATGGAAGATAATTGTATGGCTGTTATCGAAAGCTTTGTTGTCCTGCTCTAGGACCGAACGAACGCTGTAGTAGAAATCAACCAAGCAAGAAAAGATCTATTCTCAAAGAAGGCTAGGAGCCCTATTAAAATCCCAACAACACGAGCTGCACTGCAGCAACACGCAATGCGTGCAGTTTTTTTAAGGAGCATGCATCCGAGGTCAAGTGCTTCTAAAGAAACTCGTGATTCCTTCGCCTTCTGCATGGGGATGGGAAAAAGAAGGGACCTCCTGGAAACCCAAGTGGACGACTCTTCCTCAAGCAAAGGACGCTTGCTATGAGTTAATTTACTGTGGCTGCAAGTAAGGCTGCAGGGGCCGCTGTAAATGCTTGAAGGCTAATCTTGACTGTACAGGTTTGTGTAATTGTGGTAGAAATTGCAACTAAAAGAACCTTGACTCAGCGAGTGTTTTTTAAAGGAGGCATAATAACGTCAAAGCTAGTAAAGGCTGTTTTTCAAAACGATTAAAGGCTGATGGTTTCGAAAGAAGCTGTTTGGGGCTGCGTCGGTGGGAGTAACAAAATAATTTGGATATATCAACAAAGTTGAAGTGGTAAATTGGCCACCGTAACGATTACAAAAGCTGACGTTTCGAGCGTTAGCCCTTCGTCGGAGCGAATAGTTTTTCAAAACGTTTCCTTCAGACCGAAAAGTTCAGCAAGTGTTTATTGTAACATACCTCATCTATTCCGGCATATTTATAAGTTTCTAAGGGCATGTAGATGGATTCTCAATCACAGTAAGCAAGTAACTCAAGAAAATCATATCATTAAATTGACGCTGTATCTCAGCCTCGATTTGATGCATAGTTCTGATATTACGTCTTTGACACATCCCAAATACATTTCAGGTTTGAATTTCCTAGGCTAGATAGTGGAACCTACATTGCAAATGGCTAAATTGTGCACGTAAAAAATAGTGATGATTTCATCAGTGCCTATTGTTTTCCTGGTATTTGAAAAAAATGGTCACGTGACGATCACTTTTATTTTTAATATGATCAAGTGACATAACTTAAGACTCAAAGGCACTGGTTAATTTTATGTCGAATGAAAAAAGCAAGACACCAGGCATAGTTGTTCTAAGGCCAAAAAAAATATCAGTATTTTTTTACCAGCCTCGTTTTCATATCAGGGCCTTGTTTGCCATTTTTTTGACATGTCCATTCCATGGTCCTGGGCACAAATTTGGGATGGCTTCATCTAAGGAAATATTTTTCCTATAGAGGTTGGTAACTCTGCCAATTTTGATGTTTTTATCAAAAATCGAACAATTTTGTCCCTTAACAACTGGATTATTAAGTGTAGGATCCTTTTAAAAGTACTCCGTACAGTTCCATACCAGTTAGGTAAATGCCATAGTCTTTCGAGGAATTCTTTCCTGTCTGAACAATTTGAAAAAACCGGAAAGCTCCTGTTTCTTCTTCAACTGACCAGGTAGCAGTGTATGAAGAGGAATTTCTTAGACTGCTATCATTACTGTGTTTCTTCAAAACTTTCCAGGTAGACCCGTCTAACGACCCTTCGAGCTGCCAATTACAGAGGAATGAGTCGCCATTGTCTCTCCCGTGTCTTAGAGTATAAACTGTGAGATACAATGAATATTTTTTGCTTAATTCAACACGCCACCATGATTCTTGTTCGGCCTCGGTGCAGCTTCTCTTCTTCTTGATATGCTCATGATCAAGCAGATCACTCGCCGATCCTTCTTTGTCAGAAGATCTTGAGGCAATTACTCTTTTCGTGAGGTCACTATTGTTGCTGGGATGTTCCCAGGCAATAGTTCTGAAGTTCGATGCCATCCAATAGATAACTCCATATTTGTCAAAATCGTTTTTGTAGTGAAAAACACCTGCATCAATAAAAGCAAATCATTGAGCAAATAAGATGATTTCTCTAGCGGACACCGAAATTAAAAAGGTAAGATAACCACGCTGATTATCAGCTTGTGCTAAAAAAAGACTATGTGTGTGCCATGAATCCTCCAGAGCAGTGACCGATCAATCAAGCGATAGATTACGATTCCCATGTTTCAGATATGCGGGAAAAGAAAATAACCACTAAGAATTATATCGTTGAAAAAATGGGTAAATGACGAAGAACCTGAAGAAAGATCTTTTGCATTTTTCAAGAGCTTGGTACAAAGAAACAGATCTTAGTCCCACTCTGGACTGGAATTTAAACCTCAAAGTTTTCGATTTCTCGGTACTATGCGATTTGAAACTTTTAAGAATGACCTAACCATTCACAAATTGTCTTCAAATGCGCTGAAAATTCGACCGTCAATTTTTGTGGGATAATCCATTGATATCGTCAGGGAAAGCTGAATGTTAATTGATTCTTGGATCTAAAAGGTTGATGAAGGGGTCTCTTAATTATAAATGACCTAGACCACATTGAGACGTAGATGCAATGTTCTCTCAGATCCTCAGCCTCACAGTGTACATGACGTGCTTACCAAAAACAGGATACTTACGTGCGGAACCTTCTCTCAACTTCGTCAGTTCATTAAAGGCATCTCCTTTAGCTTTAACTTCTGCCCGCAATTTTTCCTCAGTTTTTTTTAGCTTCTTTTTTTCTTCATCTAAAGCTTTCCTCAAACATTCATCATCATTTTTAAGCTTTGAAATTTCTTCCGAAAACTTTCTAATTTGCGATTCTTGTCCCTTTAACCGTTTTGTAAGCTCGGCTATCTCTTTCTCCTTTGCCTCAAGCTTTGACTCCTGTTGCGTTTTCAATTGTTCCACTTTTTCATTTGATTTCTTTTTTTGATTTTTGAGGCGACCTTGAAGGCTTTCGTTTTCTTTTTTAAGCGAGTTTTTCTCCCCTAAAAGAACAAGCAAACTTATCATTGGTACACGAAAAGGAAGAAAATGGTATATCTTCAAGTGAATAAAAGATGGTCGTAGTCTAGCTGCAATTTGAGTAATTGCATTAAAGAAGCCTGACAAATTCAAGTCTCAACGAGAAGCGAACCCAGGCCTCCCAGATACTAATTGGGCTTTACCACAAACTGAGCCACCAAGCCACATGTTGGGAACGAACGAATTTCAGTTAGTTCTTCATTCCCGTTGAGGAATCTGATCACGATGCTAATGAATATAAATCTTATGATGACCTACCGATGAAATGATCTTCACAAGCATATACTGATATTTCATAAAACTGCCTCTTTTCTGCAACTAAATTGCAGCTAACCAACAAGGATTATTGCTTCCCTGACAGTTTGTATAGTTAACTGTTTGTACTCTGGGGCGACGAGAGCCTCTCTCGGGCATTGTACGTGTAAGAACAAAACATCTCTCGGCCCGTAGCATTTAGCTTCGTTGATAATTTGGTACAAAATGTAGAGATTGCACTCCCTTTTTGATCTGATGCAGTAGAACTTTTATTCAGAGAACACCTTTGGGACTACAAAAAGCGTCTTCATTACCTGATAGCCTCTTAATTTCTGCTTTGCTCTCAGCCTCTAGGTTTCCTTTTTTTATTTCAAGTTCCTTGATTTCTCTCTGCTTTTCTTCATTCTTTGACTGCTGTTTCTCTAAAGCCGTTTTCTTTTAAAGAACCGTGCTCCTTAAATCTGCGCATCTCGCTTTTTCGATGTGTAGTTCTTTCTTCATTTCTTCTTTTACTGAAAGAGAAACACTGTACACCGCTTAGATATGAAAAAATTTTCCCTTACCTAACGCTAAGGTTTTTCTACCGAAATATGTCATCTTTTTACGAGTGTAAGACAAGGGAAAAAATTGTCATTCGTGAAGATTCGAGCCTTAAACGGCGGCGACCTCGCACTTGAATGCTCTGTCAACAAATCAACAGAGAACTCGTTTGGCTCAAGATTTTTGCGAAGGAAAACCATAATAATTCACTGGGTGTAGGTTTGGACTGGATTCTTTTAATGAAATTTATTGTCACCTAATGCATTATATAAGATTCTAATATTTAGTCATCATACTCAGTGCTTTCGGTTGGAATATTATTGGAATGTTATAAGTTACCCGTAGCAAAAAGTTTGGTGAGCTCTTAATATTAAGTTTTTTTTTACATTTAAGACGAGTTTATTCAAGATTCAGTCCTCGAGAAATGTTTCCTAGTCTTGGTGATTTTTGTTACTATTATACATCTATTATACATCTCTACTATTTAAAGGGTTTTGAAAAATTCAGCCTCCCCATATAAGAAGTTTAGTTGAAAGTTAGATACAAAATGTGAAGAATGCAACCCATATGGTCCATACGCGTTATTAATAACCAAGCGTGAGGTCAAGATGGCTGGATATATAATGAATAAAGGCTGATATTTTCTAAAAAAAACTGTTTGGCGCTACGTCGGTGGGGGTAACAAAATAATTTGAATATATCAAAAAAGTTGAAGTGGTAAATTGGCCACCGTTACGTCAGCTTTTATAACCGTAACGGTGGCTAATTTACCATTTCAACTTTGTTGATATATTCAAATTATTGGATATATATTGGCCGAGTCCTTTTTTTCGCACACAAAAATTCGGGAAAAGAACGAGGCTTATATCCGGTCATCTTGACGGAACAAGCGTGGTTAATAAAGGTTTATTTTATTACAAAACGATTTCGCATTATTATGAATTAAAAATAGCTTGTTTACTTCGAGAGCCGGGAAAAAAAATGCCAACTGTGTTTGTAGCACAACCAACTCACGAGAGTTGTTTCTGTTTTGTTTTTACTATCTTCTGCCGCATTTTTAGTTTCCATCGCCGAAATTTTCCAAGAATTACGAACTTAGTTCTAATTCTAGTTTTTTTCATGCGTGGGATCAATGCGGGCAATCCCGAGCAGGCAAGATGGGTCAATCTTTCCCGCTCAGGTAGCCAATCAGAACACAGGACTCGCTTCATCTTGCCTACAGGGGGTTCGAGCAATGTCAGAAAATTTGACATAAACTCTCTACAGGGACACCTTAAGAAATACCAAAAGTATCTTCCGTTAACAGGTTTTAGTATAACAGCTCTTCTTCCAACTTTCAATTTCAGTCTAAACGCCACACCTTTTTTGTAATTCTCCGCGCTCTCAGCCATCATTGCTTCATGTTGACTCTTCATTTCTTCGAGCGTCCTCTTCGTTTCCTCGTGCTCATTTTTCTCTTTTTCCAAAGCTGCTTTCGTCTCATCTCTTTCGCTACTTCTCATCGCACTGCTCGCTCTTCCTTTGTCTAGCTCTTCCTGCATCATTACCTTTTCTGAAGGTGAGATAATGGAGACTGTCTAATAATTAGTGCAATCAACTCATCCTCATTATTGCGTTTCTTATAGGGAAGATGGAACCATTTGCAAGGAGCGCAAGACAATGAAAAAATATGTGTTTTAATCGAGGATGTAAATCCCACATAATTCATTTTCACTAGTGCTTAGGTAGTGTTCATTAGTGCAAAGATCGCTTTCATATTCATTACAGCCTTATGTTTATCTTATCAAAACCTCAAGTTTTAGAAATCATAGAATTCCCAAACATATTACTCTTAATAACAAAGGAAGGAAAAAAAGTCACACTTTCACCAGATGTTATTGTCAAGAAAGTCACAAAAAGAAACAATAGACCATTATATTTAAAATATCATACTTGTCTTGTACTAGGAGATGATTCAATTGTTTTTGTCAAGAAGTCACAATTACACAAAACATAATTTTTCCTGTATCTTACTCGCTTGACTTTACTAACTTGTCGTGCGCAACCATGGACATCTGTTTACGCACTCGTGCATCAGGTCTTTTGAATAAATATATATTGGGATGGATAAGAATCGATCAACGGCTTGGATAGGAGCCGAATCAAACTAGGTACTACTGGATCGGGCTTGAAACGACCGGATACCCAAGTGATAATGAATAGGTTTGAGCTGGATACTCCAATTGTGTCTCCTGCGAAACATTTCACCCTTCTGTTTAATTCACCCCGGGGCGTTTTTCGCTGTATCAAATTTTTTATTGTTTTAAACGCGTGAAAGGTCAGTCATAACATTAAAAAGTTTAACCAAAAACCAACGACAACTCAAAGAAAATAGTTGAAGGGAACATTAAAGGCCCAACCTTACAGATTTAACATTGTGATGCAATGTACTTCTTTTGCTTTCATATTGCACAACGTTGATTAATGTTAGACAAAATTAGACTACCATACAATCATAAAATCAAAAAGGCTGTTGTATCAAAAGCTGCTATGAGATGTTTACCTGCATTTTGCAAAGTAATAGTCAGGTGTGGCTGTATTTTCTCCAGTGCTTTCACAAAAACATCAAAGGCCTTCGGTCCTCTCCTTGGAAGTAAATCTAATAGCTTGTGTACTCGGTCCACCCTTGTGTCCCTTTCATACACTTGTCGTACGTCTGTGGCGTCCAGTACAGAAGCTGATTCAGACAGTATTTTTTTTGGTTCAAGGTCCTTTTCGAGCTCCGAAAAACAGCGGTGCAAGAGAATCCGATGCCTGTCATCCATTATATTTCAGACTGGAAAATTCTTTCTGCAAACAATATGTAACATACTGTGGTACATTTTTGTTCTTAACTTACAATAATATTATTCGATGAATTTAGAGGACTTTCCTACCAAATTCTTTTCATGAAGCTACGCAGTGATATGTGCATCACAGCTAGAGATCGATTCACAACTCTCATAAGTTCAGCGACCCTAAATTGGCAGTGGTTGCAGATAACTAACATTTCAGAGATATTTCACCACAGAGTAATGACTTCAGGTGGATCAGTTGTTCACCTCCCCCTTCGTTTACTCTGATTTGATTAAGAAGCACAAAAATTCCAATGGACCTCTCAAGAACGACAATTCTTGATGCGGGTGTCTTAAACGAGGCAAGGTAAGTGTGGACGAGTGTCTATGTTCCTGTTCGTTAGCTCAATTAGTAAACTAACTGTACACTCATCAAGGACCCATGGTTCAATAACACAGAAGTTGTCAAACATCTTTTGTAAACATTGCATAATTATATGTAGAAATTTATCTTGTTAACACAAACAAAACGTTGTTCGTAACAATATTTTGTAAAGCAGATAGTATCCCTTAGGTGTTGTGCCAGATAACATTTTGAATCATCTAGAAAAAAAAGGAATTTTTGAAACCCCGTTTATTTCTATCGGCCGGGAAGCAGACTCTATGCAAAAATGCACAATACTTGAACTAACCGCTTGATTGAATATTGTTTCGATAAGTTTCCATCTATTTCAGCCAAAGTGTCTTCTAAGAATTTTTATCAAAATTTTTAGCAGAACTTCACACGCTTAGGATTCAATAACCTTTAGTTTAGTAAATGTCACTTTTGTTAGAAAGCTTAAGTTGATGACATATTGGAAGCCCATGATTACTTCTGTGAAAATCAAGAGGGTGATTTTACGCAGGAGTGATTATAGTCGCTAATGGTGTTCCGCATTCTCAATTAGTGATCTTCGCTTTAAGAACCTTGCTGAGATACAAAGTAAGAATTTTTACGGATCGTTTGCTAAGTTAATTCCAACCCATTTCCTGCCTACGACTTGCAGTATTGTTGCACTCGTTAAAAAAACCATACGCTATGGATGCCAAACGAAGGATTCATTATCTTTGTCTGTATCAGGTAATGTCGTCCAAACAGTCTCCTAGACAATGCTTAATGTATATCACATAGCATTGTTAGGTGTAAACAAGCTGGTTTCAACTCTCCAGAATGTGTTAGTGTGAATGAGCGCGATGAAATAGCTCTTTTGGTCGTATGCTAAGAGATGCACCTAGAAAAAATCGAAAATTGCAGCAACGCGAAAGGTCAAAATAACATTAAAACGGAAGGCTAAGAGGCAATCAGTTCGTTTGTAAAAGCTATGTATGGCTTCATTGTCAGACCTATCAGCAAAAATGCCAAAAAAGCATCCGAGTTCAGGATCTACTGGTTGACAACTTACCTCGCAGGGAAACCTTCAGTCTCAAACCGAAAAGGAATCGTCCTCAAAACAAATCTGAGATGTGTTAACTTCCTTTCCTCAAATGTGCAGCCAGTTACTTCAGTGCGTTCTGCTCCAATGTTGGAATCTGTAGCACTCTTTTATCAGTCAGCAAATAATTTTCAATAACGCAACTGTAAATCGAGCTTTTGCCCTTCGTGATCACCTGCCGTAAGTCAGTGAAACGCTAGAAGTTGAAATCATTAGAACAAGGAAGACGATTCGCTTTAACTCTCCATAAATATGTTCAGGAATATTACATAACCTAAGCTTTTAAGTGGGTAATTACAGTGACGTAACTAGCATTTTCGTAACCAGCATTTATTTTTACTCGATCAGCACAATCCAAGTAGGAGTTTGCAATTGTTGAATCAAAAACCGACTTGTCAAGAACGCCTTCGTCATGGCGGAGGAGAGAGACCCTGAATTCGACGATTATTTACCTTATAAGGTAACTTCTCGAGAGTTTCCTCCTCTAAATTTGGCCGGAGTTTTCAAATTACAAGTAGTTAAAAAAATATTCATGAATTACCTGATTTCGTCATAATCTTATTACCGTCAAATTGCAAAATGTCAGCAAACATGTTTCATATCTACTTAAACAAACGACGACTTCGACGTTTTGTTTTACTTTTAACATAGCGAATTTGTTTCTTCCACTCCCCCACTTAAGTCAGCGTCTTGATTTGTGCAACTTGTAAACTAACAAAACTAGCTCACTCGTATGAATTGCTTCCCTAAACAAGCAAGAGTTTCAGGAAAGTACGTAAACGAGTCGGTAGTGACAGATAACGCAATTGAAGTGGCGTAGCCCAAAACTAAGTCAATGGAACAAATTGAGACCACATATTTTATGATAAATGAAGCCCGTGAAAGGAACATTATACGATCGTTTTAATACTCCGTGTTGCGGCTGTCAAACAAAGGATCAAAAGGGATCAAAAAAACTTCCTAACTAAAGGATTGGAAGTAACCGTCGTTTGAGAAGACCAAAAGGTTAAGGAAACTATAAAATGGGACATTTGACGTCAACTGCTCCCTTAANAACTTACTTTCATTAGAGCAAGGAAGATCATTGGCTTTAATTGGCTTTAATCAAGATCCTTTAAAAACTATAACCGGACGGCCTTCCAACAGTCGATGTCATTTGTACCTTGGTCAACAGTTCTAACGATATTTGATGACTTAGGAGATAAACTGTTTGCCTTTGATTGCCTTTTTAACGACGTTCTGGATGATTTTGCTCCTATTAAAACTTTTAAATCGTGGGTTCGACCTAACCCCCTTATTACCCCAGAGATAAAAAGCCTAATGAGATTATTGGAGAGCTCTCGCAAGAAACACCGATGATTCGCTCGCATGGCCAGCCTATAAAGATTTCAAGAACGAAGTCAAGCGGGAAATAAAGATAGCTGAAATGGAATTCGTCCATGAGAAGATAACAAATAGCTTAAACAATAGCAATTATCTTTGGAAAACAATACGAATGTGCGCACCATCGAAATTATGCAACCCCCACAAGTCATACAGCAAAGACGACAAAGTTTTGGCAAACGAATTTAATCGATTCTTTTTAAATGTTGGCCAAAATGCTAATCAACAAATTTAGTCCCTTATTTTTAAGGCAGATGACTTTAATCCAACTGAGTTTGTGCCACTAAACCATCCAATCTCTGAGCAGTTCCACTTTCGAACAGTAACTGCTAATGAAGTTCAAGCTAATTTAATGTCTATATTCCATCCAACAAATCTCCTGGTCACGACAAGATACCTATCAAAGTTTATAAAGATTGTTTATCTTCGATTCTTCCATCAGTTACTGATCTCATTAACACATCGCTTTCA